TCTACCACTTGAGCCATTTCTCATTTCCAAGAAAGTACTGACCTTTTTTTTCAGTGTTAGGATGGAATTCAGGGCCTCACACATGCAAGGTCAGTGCCCTAGAGCCACATTCCTGACTTGACAGTATTGAATTTTGGAGGTGGAGGTGTGGGGGCACAGCTGACAATACTCAGGGGTTACTCCTGGTTCTGCATTCAGGAATTACTCCTGGTGGTGCTTGGGGAACCCTATGAGATGCCAGGAATTGAACGAAGGTTGCAGAATGCCATGCAAGTGCCCTACCTACTGTACTATCTCTCTGACCTTAACAGCAATAATTTTCAAACAAGAAAAATCAGCTGAGAAAAAAAATTCACAAAAATACTTAAAACTTTTTCTCTGACCTGCTACTTGGTAAAAATATAACTTTATTCTGTAGCTTGCATGTGTGTATTAGCTTCACGGAAACAATGAAAATGAAGACAAAAGGTTTCTGAATCCAATATTCATAAATAAATATAATTATTCAATTACTTTTAAAGTCATGTTATTGCTAGAACTCACTGTCATACAAAAATATGTGCCGCTCCAACTATTCATAATTTGTGTGAAATGAGGCTAAATGAATGTCTATACCAGCTGTTAGTATCTTTCTGGAATAAAGATCAAGCTAATGAGAAAATGAAATTCATGTTCGCCTATGTTTATTCTAATTTCATATATATTCCATTGAGATGGCAGAAGCAGAATCTCCTTTTGTGTGTATGTGTGTTTGTGTGTGTGTGTGTGTGTGTTTTGGTCACACCTGGCAATGCTCTGCATTCAGTAATCACTACTGGCGGTGCTTGGGGACCATGCTGGATGCCAGGGATCAAACCCGAGTCAGCAGCATGCAAGGCAAAAGCCTTAACTGCTGTACTATCACTCTTGATGATCTCCCTCATAAACCCAGTATAGAAATGTAGACAGAACTAGCAACATCACCAGCGTCTCTATTAGACCTGGGTATTCCAGAAATAGGCGAGTGGGCAATGAGCTCCTCAGGGAAGGAGCTTCCTTTCACTTATCTCAACCAAGTACTCCAACACAGCCTGGGACACAAAGAATACAACGAAGAATAAAAGAAAATGATCATGGGGCTCGAGCAAAAGTACAGAGAGAGTAAAGGGTTTGCCTTGCAAGCAGCCAGCTGAAGTTCAATCCCTGGCACCCCATATGGTTCCCCCAAGCCCAACCAGGAGTGATCCCTGAGTGCAGAGGCAGGAGTAAGCCCTGGGCACCACCAGGTGTGGCCCCCCAAAAAATAGAGAAGGAAAGAAGGAAGGAGAAAGGAAGAAAGAAAGGAAGGAAAGAAGGAAGGAAGGAAGGAAGGAAGGAAGGAAGGAAGGAAGGAAGGAAGGAAGGAAGAAGGAAAACAGGCAGGAAAAAGGAAGGAAGGAAGGGAAGGAGGGAGGGAGGAACGGAATGATAGATCAGAAGTGATCAGAAAATGGCTGTTATTGTCCAATGTAACACTGGTTGGAGACAGGCCTCCAGCCCTCTTGGATCATGCTGGCTTCCAGTAAGTCCTACTTCTAGATGGGGCTGATTTGTAGGACAGTTTGGTGCTCACTCTAGGGAAGCTTCTATGGATAAGAATGAGGGGGTGAGTGATAGCACAGTGGGGAGGGGACTTGCCTTGCACACAGCCAACCTGCGGTTCAATTCCCAGTAACCCATATGATCCCTGAACACCACCGGGAGTGATTCCTGAATGCAGCGCTAGGAGTAACCCCTGAGTACTGCCGGGTGTGGCCCAAAAACCAAAGAAGACTTGATAAATAAGGGTTCCATCCATAGCTGCAGTGAGGGTCATCACTTAGAAAGCTGGTGACCAAGGGTCAAGGTATATACCAGGGGCTGGGGGGTAGGAGGACAGCTCCATGGCAGAGTCTGCCTTGTGGGCATGAGTTCCATACGGATACCACAACCAAGGGAGTGTTGAAACTACAACAGAGGGAAGGTGGGAAGAAGACATTGGGGATCCAGTACTGGATAGCTTAGAAGTCAGCACCCTGTCCAGATTGGGCCCTGATTTTATTTTAAATTATTTTTTTTATTTTTGGCTTTGGGGTCACACCCAGCAGTGCTAAGGGTTTACTTCCGGCATCACTCCTGATGAGACTCAAGAGACCATATATGGGGTGCTGGGGCTAGAACCTGGGGTGGCTGTGTGCCAGGCAAGAGCTTTATACTCTATACTATCGCTCAGGCCTCAAGTTTCAGTGATTTTTTTTTTTCATTTTGGGTCACACTCGGCGATGCACAGGGGTTACTCTTGGCTCATGCACTCAGGAATTACTCCTCGCGGTACTCGGGAGACCATATGGGATGCTGGGAATCGAACCCAGGTCGGCCTCATGCAAGGCAAATGCCCTCCCTGCTGTACTATCGCTCTAGCCCCTCCAGTGATTTTTAAGGAAGAAATCCCTGAGTGTATGGTTTGTCTCACTCTCCACACCTCTTAACGTGTGGAAGGAAGAGTCGGAGCTCCCTTGAGCCCTTCTGGTGTTCAAAGATCTGGTTCCTCTCAGGGATTTCTCCCAAGAAGAGGTTTATCTGTTGTGTGAAACGCAGAGCTGACCTGAGGCGACCTGGGTAACCTCAAGTGTGTCACTGGCGATGTCACAACCCCCAGTGTAGAGAGAGAACATCTCTCTTTAGAAATAGGGGGGAAATCCAACTCCTTGATGAAACCCTCAATGCCTTCAGGATAGAAAGCGGAAGCAGGGCGAACTAACAGAGTTCAGTTGGCTGGGTCCCGGCATCATGAAACAGGCTTTATCTGAAACCAGGTTTCCTCTCACTCACAACAGGCAGGTTCAGTTCAACTCCGCAAGATTTCCACTCCGCTCTTCCTGAGTCTCGCATGGCCTCTGTCCTATGGCTGGGACCTTTCTATGGCTGGGAAATACTCAAAGGCGGTGACTGCCGACTGAGACCAAACCCAGGAGGATGTGTCCCAGAACCCAGGGTCAAATGCCAGGCACCCCATGGTGCAGAGTCAGGCAGATGGTCCAGGGGTTGAGACAGAGGACAGCTGCAGAGATATGACACCAAATACTCAAGCTACTGAGCCTGAAAACAGAAAAGGGCCTAAAGCCACTGCTGAATTATGGACAGGCATTTCATGCATCTGGACACTGTGACGAGGTACTCCTTAAAACACTCGGTGGAAGAGGAACCGCCAAGCATGTGCACCCCAGTAGGCATCTGAGTAGACAGCCATAGGAATGGGGGGCCTCCTGCAAAGAAGATTCTGCTACCGTGAGTTGTCAGTGTGGTGGACAAGGTCTTGACAATTTTGACTACAGAACATTCATTCATTCATTCTCACTCACTCATTAATTCCCTTACCTGCTTATTCCCACTCAGGAGTGCGCCTGGCTAGAGCCTATCTTGACAGCTCAAAGTACAAGCACAGGCAGGACAGGCCTTCCTTCCTGGGGCACCTTCCACCCAACCCTGACCAGAACTGATCTTTTACCTAAGTATAAGTGAATGATGCTGAATGAACTGATATCACACAGGGGGCTGTTGATGTATTCATGACTCTGCCTCCACTTGGTGCTTCTCTACCACATGCCACGTCAGTTCAGTAGTAAATCATGTTGGCTCTGCTTTTTGAAGCGACAGACCACTTCTCAATACATCTCCTGCTACTGAGACACTATTTCTCTTCCTGAAGTTATTTTGCCATGGCATTCTCACCAGACTCCTCCAATCCTACCCCAAATATGATGTATTCAAGGCCGGAGTGATATAGAGCAGGTAGGGGGTTTGCCTTGCATGTGGCTGAACTAGGTGTGATTCCCAGCATCCTATATGGTCCCCAGAGTCCTGCCAAAAGTGATCCCTGATGGGGCTGGAGCAATAGCACAGCGAGTAGGGCATTTGCCTTGCACGTGGCAGACCTGGGTTCTATCCCTGGCATCCCTTATGGTTCCCCAAGCACTGCCAGGAGTAATTCCTGAGTGCAGAGCCAGGAGTAACCCCTGAGCATCGCCAGGTGTGACCCAAAAAGGAAAAAAAAAAAGTGATCCTTGAGTACAGAGCCAGGAGTAAGTCCTGAACACAGCCAGGTTGGTCCGTGCCCCCAAAACTATATGATCTATTCTCCACAGCAAGTACAGTGATTGTTTGCAAGTGAGCTGGCCAATCAGGTCACTTCTTTGTTCAAAACCCTCTGAACAGTTTTAGTTTTACTCAAAGTAAAAGCCAATCTTTACAATGCCCTCTGAGTCTGATAAGATCTGACTTCCCATACTCTGACTGGCCTCCTTCTCATTTCTCACTGTTACAGACACACACTACTTTAGGCTTCTTCAAATGCAAGCCTCAGGGCCTTTGCACCTTCTAGTCCTGGGCAGGTTCTGTTTTCCTGCCATTAAGTCAGTTAAAATGTCACTTAGAGGCTTTCCCTGCAGGACTCACCCATAGTTCCTGATTTGCTTTTCTATATCTTTTTCCCCCCTTCTCTTTCCTTCTCATTTTTTCCTTCCCTTTTTTGGGCCACTCCTGGCAATTCATGAGACCGTTTGGTTCTGGGGCCCGAATCTTGGGTTCCAACATGGAAAGTATGTGCTTCAATTCCTTGATCTCTCTTCTTAGCTGCTTGATTTTCTTAATAGAAAAATACTTCTAAAACACTGAATAAGTAACTTTGTATGTGGTCTGTCTTTCCCATTAAAAGAGAAACTATGGATGCCAGAGCCAAAGTACAGTGGGTGGGATGCTTGCCTTGCACACGGCTGACCTGGGCTCAATCCTGCCAGGAGTAATCCCTGAGCACAGAGCTGGGTGTGGCCCTCCAACAAAAACACACAAATAAAAGATAAACCACCCCATGCAGGCAGGCCTTCCTGTCTCATTGGTCACTATGGAGCTCTGCAGAAGCAGTGTATGCCATGTGTGTGTGCATGTGTGCACATGTGTCTGTGTGGGTATGGATGGGCGGGGTGCGGGGTGCAGGAGGAACTCACCCGTCTCCCCCAGGTCGTTCTGGAGGAGCGTCCGGCAGCGCTCCTTGTGCTCCTCAAGGGAACTCCTCTGCTTGTAACTCCTTCCGCAAAACTCACACTTATAGGGTTTCTCCACTGAAAGGACAAGAGGGGGCACTCAGGGACCTGCGGCGGGGACTGCAAAAATGGTGTCATGGGGCTCCTTGGCCATCATCCACTAGGAGGGGCGAGAGAAACCCGACGCTGCTACTTCTGTACCCATAAACTTTTAAGTTGAATACGCTGAAATCAGGGTGCAGTCCATGATGGACCACCATCTGGGCTGTTTGTCGAAGCACAGCCCTCCTCCCCCCATCCCTTTCCCTATGAAGGAATTCGGATGGAATGATTATTGTTCAGATCCTAGGCTTTTTCTTTAGGAAAAGAGATCAGCAGTTTTTCATCTTGGAGGAGGTTCGCGTGGTTAAGAACAACATGGGAGAGATGCCTGGTTCTGTGCCCTCCATCTGGCTGAAGGGAAGGAAGCCTGCTGTCTGTAGGAGGCGGCCACTCAGCACCACGTGGCCTCTGAGGGCAGCGGCACGGATGGGTAGATTTAGCTTCCCCTCACCAAGCAGAGATAGCCAAGTCTGGGCTGTATCGGGAAACAACAATGAGCCAAGTGAGAACAGCCTGAATAATAGAAGAGAATCCACTGCAAAATGACTTTCTCTCGGGCCAGAGAGAGGGCTCATGGGGACTGAGCTCAGGCTTCGCAAGCAGGAGGCCGGGGTTTGATCCCTAGCACCCCATGATCCCCCAGGTCTGCTGGGAGTGACTCCCCTCAGCCTCAAGTCTGAGTAGCATTTGAGCACGGCTGGGTGTGGCCCCCAAACCTAAATAAATAAACAAGTGCAGGTCCACTACAGTTAAAAATATTGAGTCTGGAATCTGTCTTTAAAAGGGTCTGGAGTGATAGAGGTAAAGTGTTTGCCTTGCTGACATGGCCCAGCTGACCAGGGTTCAATCCCCAGCATCCCATGTAGTCCCATATAATTGCCCAAACACCAAACACCACCAGGAGTAATTCATGAGTGCAGAGTCAGGAGTAAAATCAACCAACCAACCAACCAACCAACCAAACCAAAGACTATTGTTGTTAGTCTGGGGGGAAAAAAAAAACCAACAAAACAACCAAAAAGAACAATTCTAATTTTGGAGAATAAATTCAGTCTTCTTTTGTTTTTAGGTCACACTTGCTGGGGGGAGGGTTGGGTGGGGAGCCATGAGGTACCAGGGACTGAACCTGGGTCAGCTGCATGCATGGCAAAGGCTTCAAATTCAGTCTTTATTCATGACTTTGAACAATGATCTATAAAAGAAATCCTCTTGAGGCAGGGAGATAACTCAAGGGACTCCAGTAGCAGCTTCGCATGCCAAGGACCCAGGAACCATAGCTGACAGCCATGTCTCCATCCCACCCCACTTCTGCCACAGCTGGGTGTGGACAATCCTCCTGCCTCCCCCCACCAAAAAAAAAGAGAAACCCTTCTGCTATCTGCTGGTGGGTTTGAATGCAGCTGACCTAATTATTTTAAGGCTTGATGACTGGGGTCTGTTTTAGACTCAGGGTTGAGTTTTAGGCAAGACAGCAGCTATGGATTGACATCAAAACAACCTTTCATTTTTTTTAAATTCAAATTTTGTTAGATGACATCAACAAGAGGTCCCAAATCTGGGGCTGCAGCAATGGCAAAGCAGGTAGGGCATTTGCCTTGCACACGGCTGACCCAGGTTCGATACCCAGCATCCCATATGGTCCCCTGAGCACCACCAGGGGTAATTCCTGAGTGCAGAGCCAGGAGTGACTCCTGTGCATTGCTGGGTGTGACCCAAAAAGAAAAAAAAGGAAAAAAAGAAAAGAGGTCCCAAATCTGAAAATAAACTATCTTTTATTTCTAGCAAAAAAAATTTTGGGAATATATATACATACACATGTATATATACATGTATACAAATGTGTGTATATATACACATATATACATGTAATTAATACATATGTACATATATTTATAGTCTTGGTCATAGAAAGGGGTAAAAACACATCAAGGCATAGATTTTTGTGAATTATTTTTGATTATTCTTTTTTAAAAAATTCTGATTATCCTTTAGAGATTGAAGATTACATAGACTTATCCAGAAGAATGGTGGCTCAAAGAAATTTAACGCAGATTGGCTAAACCACCCCTATCCCTTAAACATAGCTCAATAAAGTCTCAGTCATTTCTTTTTACCCTGCTCAGTTTTTCATCCTTGACAAACTGCATCTTTGCCTGTCCAGACTTCTGCATGAAAAGTGTGTGTGTGTGTGTGTGTGTGTGTGTGTGTGTGTGTGTGTGTACAAAAATTAAGGAAGCATTTCTATGGGGCATGTGAGGCTCTGGAGGGGATGAGGATGGGAAGGCGATGATCACCCCCAGTGAGCCAGACGGAGAGCAATTAATGCCTTAATGGAAGGGTAATTAGCCCTAGAGGTCTCTGCTGTTGTAACCCTCCCAAGCAGGAATGACGGATGGAAACCTCCGTCCTTAACTCTTTCCAGTTTCTGTGGAAGAGCAGACACAGGGCTCCATGCTTGCACTCACCAGAATGTGTCCTCAGGTGACCCGTGAGTGCATCTCTTCTCTGGCAGGCGTAATTGCAGAGGTGACACTTGAAAGGCTTTTCCCCTGTGTGCAGTTTAATGTGGCGGAGGAGGTTACCTTTCTGAGTAAAAGATGCCCCACACTGATTACACTGGAATGGGCGTTCACCTTTAAAAAAAAAATAAAGGACAAAAAAATGAATTTTCTCATCACTCGGCAAGTGGAGAAGCAGGGACACGGATGAGACACCCGCCCATGGCAAAAGTACATCTTGTAGACAAGTGCGGTGGCACCGGGATCTGGCAGAAGCTGTGAAAGCAGCAGGCAGACTTGTCCCTGCCTACGGCTTCCTTCTCAGTGAGGAGAGCCCTGATGGAAAGCTGCTTTAGGGAGCCTCCTGTCTTTGATCAAAGAAACCACCGTCTACAAGCTGAAGAGACGGTACAGCGGGTAGGGTGTTTGCCTTGCACACGGCCAACCTGGATTCCATCCCAGGCATCCCATAGAGTCCCCTGAGCCCGCCAGGACTGGCTCCTGAGTGCAGAGCCAGGAGTAAGCTCTGAGCATCTCTGGGTGTAGCACAAAAAGAAGAAAAAGAAACAATCATCTCTTTATTTATTTCATTTTGGCTTTTGGGGTCACACCTGGTGATGCATGTGGGTTACTCCTGGCTCATGCACTCAGGAATTACTCCTGGAGGTGCTCAGGGGACGATATGGGATGCTGGGGATCAAACCTGGGTCAGCCGCGTGCAAGGCAAATGCCCTACCCGCTGTGCTATCACTCCAGCCCAACAATCATCTCTTTAGAAGAACTTGATTAGTACTTCTGAGATACTGAGTGAGAAAAGCTTTGAGCTCCTTTCGAATCTAACCTCATGGACAAAGTCTCAGACCCCAGCCTCTGTGAGTTGCTGTGGGCCTTCTGTTTAGATAGTCTGCATAGGGGAAAATCTGCAGATGAACTGACAGGACTAAGGGTATGAAGCATCTGGATGTGTTTCCATAGGCTGCCTGATTATTGTCTGTACATCCTTTTATTATTATTATTTTTTTGCTTTTGGGGTCACACCTGGCAATGCACATGGGTTACTCCTGGCTTTGCATTCAGGAATTACTCCTGGCGGTGCTTGGGGGACCATATGGAATGCTGGGAATTGAACCCAGGTCAGCCATGTGCAAGGCAAACACCCTACCCACTGTACTATCACTCCAGCCCTGTACATCCTTTTGTTACTGTTGTGGGGGACCCTAAAGGGTCACTTCCAGAGGAGCTGGGGGGCCTCTATGCAAGATAGGGATGGGGGATGGGCTCACACATGTGAGCCAGTATTGGCCACACCCCTTGTCCTGTCTGAAGATAAGTTCTTAAAAACTGGTCATAAAAATGAGCTCCTTTTCATCTGCCAAATTGAAACCCACACGCTAAGGTGACACTTTGTATACTTTCATTTGATTTGGGGGGTGGGAGATGGGCTTACTCCTGACTCTTTGCTCTGAGTTCATTCTTAGTAGTGCTCAGAGGACCTTATGGGGTGCCAGGGATCAAACTGGAGTGAGCTGGGTGCTTGACCAGCACTTTAACCTCTGCACCATCTCTCTGGCCCTGTGATCTACTTTGTAAAAAGTTATGCCAAAAGCAGAGAAAAGATGTTTAAGAAGCATCCCACACATTTCTATCCCTACTTAGGAAGCACTGGCTGACCCAGGGCACTGTGGTCCAAGGTCGTTTATTCACTGCATTTGCAGGATGTCTGCCAAAGGCCAAGGGAAGTAGGAATACAAAAAGGGGGAAAAAATCCTTGGGCAAATGGAAATGAAGAGCGAGCGATGATGGCAGAAATCTAGGAAAGAAATCAAAGTTGACCCAAATGGCAAGACTTTGCTTCTCACAGGGCTGTTTGGGGGGTGGAGAAAGGGAACTTTCTATTTACCCGTGTGGCTCCGCTTGTGCACCATGAGGACGTTGAAGCTGATGCAGGATAACCCACACACGTCACAATTCATCTTCCCACTGGCCGGCCTGCTGCCCTCATAGGCCACCATGTGCCTCTCCAGCTTAATGTTGTCATAGTCGTTATATTCTCTTGCATAGCTATAGGGAATTTCAGGCTCTTCTGCATTTCCCATGGGCTCTGGCTTTAAAACATTCTCGTCCCTTTCGCTGTATTCATCTTTCACTTTCATCGAATTGTCTGCCAGCAGGGGAAAAAAAAAAGCAAGGCATGAACAATGACTGCATTTGGTGCAATCAAAGAGCAGAGATCCACAATTGACAATGAAAGGTTGCAAGAAGTGAACAGAACCTTGACAAAGTGAGAAAACTCCCCACCACGATGCTCACTCCTGTTTGGAGTCGGGGCCCCGGGCAGGAAACACACACACACACACACACACACACACACACACGTAAACACGCACACATACACACACACACGTAGGCATTCAGAGCTCTTGCTGGCTAGGACTGAGCCAGGGGACCATACAAATCCACGTGGACCAGCTCTCACTCGTCTCTAGTACCTTATTTTCCTTTCTGTGGCTGCCGTTTAAAGAAAAGGTGCTGAGCTCTCAGGCATTCAGGAGAAAACACTGTCTCGATCCTTCAAATGTGTCCAATTTACAACATGAAGGTGGAGATTTAAATAATTTACCTGGTGTTTCTGATTTTTGGCCGAGATCTGTCCCTTCCCCTTGCATGTACCGAAGTTGCTATGACAAGTCTTATCTCCCTATCTCTTAGGGAACTGATAAACTGAATGGAGAGGAAGCTGGCAATGCTAGTGAAATGCTGTTGAGAAAGATAAAAGGAGAAGTAATTCTGTAACTGGCTCTTCTGAAGAATAGACACAGGTAAATGGAGCTCAGTCTAATCCAGGGGAAAGGGCATCAATGCCCTAAAGCTCAAGAGCCTAGAACTGTAGACACCCCTGAGAGGAAGGTCTCCCCCTGCACTGGCTGACCTGGTAGTGTCTGAGAAAGGGGTGCAACCCTCTCAAGCTGAGTCCCAAAGAGATGATCAGGGCCAGTTCATGTCCTGACACTAGCAAATGCTGAACACCTGCCAGATAAATATGATAAATATGTGGAACAGGCTGATAAACACTGGTTTCCATCTCCAAACACTGGGTCTTCGAAATGGGAATCTGTCCCTGTGCATAAAGAATCCATTACACAGCACCCTGAATTGTATTTACTTATTTTCTGTCGTGCTGGGGATGGAACACAGGTCTCCACAGAGAGGAGGTATCAAAGGGAATTTTAGGGCTAGAAAGGAATTGAAGAGAGCATCCAACCCTGCCCAATTTTGTTTTTCCAAGGACCTTGGGGATTCATCCAAAGCCACTCTACTCCTTAGCAGCAAAGTCTGGGTGTGAAACTTCCAGGCTCTCACACCCCAGACACAGAAACTAAGGCAGCTTCTTGCTAACGCAGGCCATGCTCTCTGCGCAGTGGGGAGAAGGGGTGTTTGCAGGAAGGGCGTTGGGTGGCGGTATAAAAAAAATCAAAACATACCCAGGAAAGGAGCCTTTGAAAAAAAGGATGTCCCTTGGGACCGGAGTGCTAGTGCAGAAGGTAGGGTATTTGCTTTGCACATGGCTGACCCGGGTTCTATCCCCGCAACCCAGATGGTTCCCAGAGCCCTCCAGGAATAATCCTGAGTGCAGAGTCAGGAGTATCCCTGAGTATCACTGGATGTGGTCCCCTCCTGCTACTCCGCCCCCCCCCCCCCAAAAAAAAAGCAATCCAAACCAAACCGATGTCCTTCAAGAAAGCCCTGGTAAGAGCAGCTCCGGCTGCCCCCGAGGAGGAAGTACAGTGCAGCTGTGTCTGCTGGGCCCTTCATCTCCAGTTTCCATTTTCACTTCTATCAAGATCACCTTTCATCTCTGTTAACTGCGTTTGCTTAACAGAGCAAGACAGAGGCCAGCCACAGACAGTGGAGCCGGGCTGCAGCCTGGGCTTCTCACCGCGGGCCATAGGTCACCACTCAGAGCGTTTTCACAAGAAGAGCTGGAGGCCAGGCAGCTGGGTCCTACTCTGCCCATCCTCCTCTGCACCTGGGTTCTGGAGGAGTCAGGACCCATTTCCTCCAGGGGAGGTGGGCTGGTCCCTGTTTTCTCTGTGCAGGGCTTCTCTGCTCCCAAAGAGAATGTATTGGCTTAAGTAATTTTTTTTTTTTTGCGGGGGCGCACGCCCGGCAGTACTCAGGGTTTACCCCTGGCTCTGCACTCAGGGATCACTCCTGGCAGGCTCCAGGAACCATATGTAGTGTCGGGGATTGAATCTGGATTGTCAAGTGCCTCACCAGCTGGACTACTTGCTCCAGCCCTGAAATTTTATTTTTACTTTCTGGAGAAGGCTGCACCTGAGGCTGCCGCCCTCCTCCCTTCCTCGCCGCTCCAGCTGTGGGTGCTATCCCACCAACGCCTGAGTGCTCTTCGCGGTGCATGTAGGCGTTGAAAAGAACCTCAACGGAAAACTCCAGCTGCTGAAACCCCAAGGCAGCATAGAGAAAGGGCCAGCACAAAAGGCTCCTGAGCATTTGGTTATAAAATGTTCATAGGAACAGACACAGGTCATTCTGCGGTCAGTCACCATGTACGGCTCCAGTGCTCAGCGCGCTGGGTATTCTGAAAATATGGGGCTGGAGGAGCAATCCCTTCCCTCACTTGGTTTTAGTTTGAATGGGCCTGGCCTAGAATATGACAGGACACCGGTCTGGCTCCACATCAAATCTTGGCTTTAGTTTTTCCAGGACGGAGCTGTGGAAGCAGGAAGAGAGTATTTGCGCCCCAAGACCCCAAGGGAAAGAATAGGAGTGGGATCAATTGGGCCATTGGGAAGTCTCCTGGATTAACAGAAGAGTACCTGGGAGACTCTAAGTCGGCCTTTGGAGTCTCACCAGTTTTAGATAAAAGATCTGCAGGTCTGTCTGTGAGATCACTGGGGCTCAGCAATTCCTGATAGCTGTGCCCTGTGAATTTGAACAGAGCTTAATATCAGAACACATGAGGGATCAAGGTGCCCTGAGAGTACTGGTTTAACACCCACTCTTCAAATGCAGCCCACCAGGCAAGACACTAGTCTGCTCTGATGAAGACACTCACTCCATTCCTCAGCTTGCAGATTTACTGGAGCAGAGAAAAGAAGGCGAAATACTCATCAGTGTGGCTCAAATCAAACTTGTCCTCTTTGAACAAAAATTTCCCTCTTTTCCTTTTTGTATTTGGGCCATGCTTGGTGGCCCAAATACAAAAGTAAGCACTTTCAGTAGTGCTTACTACTGGTTCTGTGCTCAGGGATCACCCCTGATAGTGCTTAGAGGTCCAAATGGGGTGCTAGAGATCAAAGTGGGGTGGGCTGCATGGAAGGCCTTAAGCTTTGTACTATCTCTCCAGCTCACAAACTAGCTTCCAATTTTCATTGACAAATGACATTTTTTTTTGCTTTTTGGGTCACACCCAGCAATGCACAGGGGTTACTCTTGGCTCTGCATTCAGGAATTACTCCTGGTGATGCTCAGGGGACCATATGGGATGCTGGGAATCGAACCCAGGTCGGCCGCGTGCAAGGCAAACACCCTACCTTCTGTGCTATTGCTCTAGCCCCCAACAAATGACATTCTTTATATTGATAAATGGCATCTTCTTTCTTTCCATTTTCAAGTCTTAAAAATATAATCCATTTCCTTTCAGTCCCTACTTTTCCTTTTCCTTTCTTTCTTTTTTTTTTTTTGTTTTTTTTTTTGTTTTTTAGTGTGTGCTGGGGATTGAATCTCCAGCCTCACATCAACAAGGCAAGACACCTACTGCTCAGTTGTATCTCTGGTCCCTAATCTCCACATTTAAACTGTCTCCAAGACCTATCGACTCTTTGTTCCCAGGCTAGATGCCAAGTCTTCACCTGCATTGCCTTAGCTCAGCTTCTCCTCCCTTCATCTCTCCTTAACATATTTTTTGAAAAAAAAAATTGCTACAAAAAGTAATGTATGTGGGGTCAGAGTGCTTTACAGCAGGTAGGGCATGGCTGAATCCCCAGCATCCCTATGGTCCCCAGAGCATCTCCAGAAGTATTTTCTGAGCCAGGGGATAACCCCTGAGCACTGCTGGGTGTGATCCCCAAAAGAAAAAAAATAACCAGATAACAAAAAAAAAGTAATCTATGTTTTTATTTATTTATTTATTTTGCTTTTCTGGGTCACACCCGGCGATGCTCAGGGGTTACTCCTGGCTCATGCACTCAGGAATTACTCCTGGCAGTGCTTGGGGGACCATATGGGATGCTGGGAATCGAACCCGGTTGGCCATGTTGGCTGTGTGCAAGGCAAACGCCCTACCCGCTGTGCTATCGCTCCAGCCCCTAATCTATGTTTTTAGTAAGTCACATACCTCTTCAAAACTTCTGTAAAATGCCCTATAATTTGACTTGCCTCTATGAGTCACTGAATCTGTTCCCTCAAAGATCTTCAAACATCCCCTTGATTCTCAATCTCAGGGCCTTCCAGACTCCTTTCCCCTCCACTTTCCAGCAGCCTCAACACTATTCACATTGTTTCTTAACACCCACTTCTTCAAGGACATTAACTCCTTTCCTTATCACACTTTTCTCCTCCCCTACCCTCCCTCTGCTTCTAAATGCTATCTTCCCCTCTCCTTTGCCTTCTCTGGCACAGGCTCCCAAAGGGCGACTTCGTCCCCGCTAGTGGCCTAAAATACCTTTCCCCACCGTTCTCAGAGTTGAAATCCTATATACTTTTGTTTGTTTTGTTTGGGGGCCACACATGGCTATGCTCTGGGCTTACTCCTGGCTCTGCACTTAGGTATTATTCCTAGAGGGGCCAGCAAGATCATTTGGGGTACCGGGGATCGAACATGGGACTGCCACATGCAAGACAAGCATCCTACCCACTGAGCTATCTCCCTGGCCCCCCATACATCTTTTAGAGACAAAGCAGTGTATCAACCCCCCTTTGCCTGCCCAGTCCTACAAACCACCCCTGATCTCCCCAGCTGCAAAATAACCTGGAGTTACTTTCTTTGTGTTTATTACACACTCACTTCGTCTCTTACAAGGGCAGGTAAGTTATCTGAGAGCAGCCGCCTATAGTTTTTAAAAAATAATGTGGAGGGGCCAGAGCGATAGCACAGCGGGTAGGGCGTTTGCCTTGCACACGGCTGACCTGGGTTCGATC